AGTTCAAACCCGGCCGAGGTCTTCGGATTTTTAAGGGCGATAAAAAATCCGTAGCACAAACTTCCTTCGGAGGGGAAGTAGAGACGGCGGTCCCATGTCGTAGATTTACGGCATGTAAGAGAACCTTACGAGCATGAACGAGATGTTTCGTATGTAAAATTCAGCGGCCATTTCTCAGCCATGTCTCGGGTAGAAACCTTGCGATGGTCTGGTCACTCTTCCAAGAGGTCCCTACGAAAATTTCTAAAAAGAAACAGATCAGAAAGGAGGCCCCTATGTCCAACGTATGAGATAAAAGAGCATAAGGAGAAGAATTATCACCTATACACAAGCAATGCGATTTATGGAGCATCGTTAAATAAACAACACTTCGTTCCTGACCGACGTTTCTCAGGGGTTGACACGGCGCAACACTCCACTAGACGGACACGCTTAATCCCCGACACCGTGAGAACCCGATACCTCGCCAAGCTTTTGTTACGTTACCCGCGAAAATCCTACGTTAGCAGAAATTTCGTCATTAATGTGTCAGCTCATACGATAGGAAAATTTTGGGGTGGTTTAGTTTTAATCCGACGCTGTTACTGTATAAAGGGGGTAAGTTTAAGGGCAGGAAACACCCTGCCCTACGACATGTCACCATCAATCATAGACGTCATTAGAGCGGCGTGGAGGATTGCGTCCTTAGAGCGTTTCCGAAGGGGCCGCTTTAACGGAAGGCGCTGATTGTGTCTCCTGTTAAGAATAAGAACTTCCTCGTGAAAATTAAGTGACTTCTTGAAGGTGGTACGAAGACATCCGCCCTTAATATGAGTGGGACATAGGCTTAAGGGAGTCTTAAAGCTTCCATAACACGGTGCGTAAAGAGTGTCTCATCTTCTAATTCAAATCTCGTGGCATGCACAGTTTTCAAAAACGAGATTCTGGTTTCGTAACCATGGCAACGAAACAGCTACATCTGTGATGACGCAAATACCACCTACACGGACTAAATACAGATGAGGGCTGTATTAAAATAAATGTTACATTAGTATGATAAAGATACAGATTGGATTGAACTGGCTCAGAACAAAATTTAATATCAGCATATTTCATAATGGCACTTTTTATCAATTATAATTTTTTATGAGTACCTTAAATAACTAGAGCTGCAAGGATGTAACAGAAGTGCCCGTGTAATGGATGCTCTTCATGAATTTAAATGACTAGAGCTCCAAGGATGTAACAGAAATTAATGCCCGTGTAATGGATGCTCTTCATGAACGTGAAATCTCGCTAATATCATACAAAATGTTAAAATTGATCTTAGGTCGAATTTTTTTTTTTTTTTGGTATTATGAAACTCATCAAATCTGCTATTGAAAGCTGAAGTTCGTGTAATTCCATACTCAGCTAGGTACACTGTAACGAGGTTTATGACAACAACTAACCTTCCGACCACCGAAATTTTCGTCACGTCTGGAATGCAGACACGCCTATTGAAGCCACGTCTAAGAATCTTAACAAAAACACGTGTCGACACGTGAAACTGCGACACGTGGTGAACAAAAGAAGGGCCATGTCAGAATTAAACTCAAACCTAACGGTCAGAAGCATCAAAATCACCACGAACGCTAAAACACATAATAAATACATTACGCACCATATACAGACCTACATGTTGGTTTTAATGTCAAATTACATGCTCTTCAAATATTAAGCAGAGCGCGGCGCTGTTCGACACTGCATCATAAATTAAACTACTGAATATCAACCCATTGCAGCGAAATGTTCTCCGGGGTGCATATGTATTTTTATTTTATTTGCGACCAAACCACTGATTACCATGTGAAACTCTGGTGGTTACATTACGCACAGCTACCCCTCGCTCCAGTATAAAACACACGCTCATCCCCGCCTCGCCCTCCCCACAGCAGGGGGCGCAGATACGTCAGCCCTTATCGGCCGGGAAACAGACCGGCTGCGTGAGAGCAACAGTGGGCTAAGAGCAGCCGAATACCATTAGAACCTCTCGTCAGAATATGGGACGGCCTGAACGGGTAGTATCATGGAGTTATTATTATTTAGTGTTCTGTCTGACGACAGGTCCATATGAACAGGATCCTTCCATCCTTTTCTCGGACTGGGACCTGTTCATATACGTTCTTGGCAGATGATCCAGAAGGGGTTTGCCATTGCCTTCTTCTGTGTGAGTGTGAATGGAGTAATTGTTGGGATGCCAATGAGGAAAACTCCGTGTTGCCTAGGCCACGGCCTTGCCCAACACAAGTTAGAAATTCGGGCACCGCCGGGAATCGAACCCGAGACCCCAGGATTACAAGGCCAGCGT